GATGGTAGGTTTACATCTAAAAACGTATTTTTCAAACATTATTATTTTAATTTAATTTTTCTTTCTTTTGTTACTTTTTTTTTTAACCGTACGCGATCTACCCGCACCACACTCGCGATCGATCGACTGGTTGGCGACCACTGCTCTAAGTCAATGGACATTTGTCATCTCACACACATACGCTGGCATTCTGCTCTGCAGCAGCAGCAGCAGCAGCAAAGGAAGTGTGTGTTTTCTTGAATTAGCTTTTGTCCTACATTTATGTCCATTGAAAAGGCTGCTCTCAGTTCACATCCAGGAACAAGACTGAGTATTTTATCCTTTCACTTTGATGAAGGGTCCATTCAGAGTCATGGTGAATGCTTATCTCGACTTGGCTCAAACAGGAAGTACCAAAGCCAGTTTCTGTTGAATTGCACTCCTTCCTGTAAAGCCCACCTACTCACCACAGTGCTAAAACAAACACATAAATACATTTGAATGCCATCACCTCTCCACCAACACTGCACTCACTCCGCCAGGACTCATTCCAACACCACCCTAGTTTTACAAACAATGATTAAAGTCAAACTGTGACAGTGAGCTACTCCAATATATCCCTGTACACTCGAATCTCTATCAGTGTGCCCATCAACTGTAACTTCCATCACTTCAACTGTTCATTGTTAAACAGTGCTGCACAATATTCAAATTGTAGTCAAAATCACAGGAGGCACAGTTTTTAATATACTGTTTATGCACTTCCTATGTATGACATAGCTACGGCAACATACAGTGTGTAAATATAAACTTTTCTGAATTAAGGTTTATAGCATTTTATAGATGACCCTGCCTACAAATCAGATTAATACAGACAGAAAAAAACCATCTTTGTCAGGTTTAGATCTTCTTAAATAATCACAACATGATCATTTAAAATATAACATTATAATAATCACAATGGGGCTAACAGACAGCTCAGTCGTTAAAGCTGGTGGCCCACATACATCCAGTGTCCGCTGCCTAGTACAAGGGTTTGAATCCAGCTCTCCAAACATCCCAATGTGCTTCCCTTTGTCTCCCACCGTCAGCACTGTATCTCAAATAAAGGCACCTTCTGGTCCAAAACATATTTAAAAATAATAGCACTGAAGTCTCCTCCTGACTGTCTCCTCCTGACTGTCTCCTCCTGACTTTCTCCCTCAGGTTCAGCTGGAAGGTGGACGGCAGCAGTATAAGCCCGTTGTCATGGCCCTGACGGAGAAGGACATCCTGCTGTTTCAGGCGGTGCCGTGGAGCAGAGAGTCCTGGTCCACGCCTCTGCTCACACACCCACTTCTGGCCACAAGGTGAGGGGCAGCTAGAGCCGTAAGGGTCAAAGTTCACTGTCCTCAAACTGTAATCAAGTCATTCCTTCATGGTACAGATAGTAATATTTATATTAAAATGCATTTTTGATATGACAATTTTCCAACGTATCAATAAGGGTTGCATAATTCATTGTAAAATGTATGGACATGTGCCATATTGCAGTAAGCATAATATTAAGTTAATCCTAGATGTCTAAATGAAGCATTGTTGAGATGCAGAGAGGTGTGGGCTTTCTAACATACCTTGTTTGGTACAGTAATTTAGTTTTTATATGATTTCCAGGTCGACACAATCTCTTTTAGCCTTCTGCAATTTACAATCATAGCACACATCAATGTGTCCCAGATACTGGACAGTACAGAGACTCACTGACCTATAAACATGCTTTAAAATAAATAATGAACAAAAATGAAAAGAAACAATAACAAGGTTGTTGGTGTTTACCTCGATGATATGCATGCCCCCTCGTCCTCAGAAAGAGCACTAACTAGACAGGTCAGTGTTGTGTCATGGACAGCAAGAGGAGCTTAACACTGACTATAATCCATGTGCTAGATGTTACTGTGCCCTCACACATGTCTCCCCTCAGGCTGGTTCACTCTGGCAGTGCTCGGGGGTCTCCTGCTCAGGGGTCAGACCTGGTGTTTGCCACCCGGACGGGCACAGGGCGGGGCATCGAGTCCCACACCTTCAGAGTGGAGACCCACTGGGACCTGTCGTCATGGACGCGAGCCCTCGTGCAGGGGGCGCACGCCGCGGCTGAGCTCATCAAAGAAGTCTCCATCGGTGAGTGTGAGCGTGATTCCAGTTTAGAGTCAGCAGTGAAATACCCTGAGGACATCGATCCTGGTCACCTTAAGGCCAGAACCAGCTTCCATGGAAACGTGATGTTGTTTGAAACGTGCATGGCTGTTGCTCTTATATTTATAACTTATAGCAGGCTGAACATTGGAACATCTCCTTTGTATTGTTGTATAATTCAAACATTATTTTGGGATACCTTCCAGTATTGGATAACTTATAAGCAGGGGTTCACATAACTTTTTACTGTTCGCAGTACCCTCGCAGCGGGGTTACTGTGCGGAGCACATAAAGCAGACCCTTCACGCGATAGCGAGGGGTAGAGCGAGGGATCGCAGATGCCGTCGCGCTCGCGGACAGATACAAAAAATGTAGCCTAAATGGCTCTCGAATTATACTTTGTAAAGTCTATGTGTGGGAAACCCTGCTATCTTACCAGTTCTTATGCAACTCGCAAATCTCTCTCTCTCTCTCTCTCTCTCAATGTTGGTGCGCAAATGCGCTTTTTTGATCCGGTGCTCTTTTTTTGGCGGGGGGTACGCACCAGTTATGTGCAGCCCTGCTTATAATGACCAAAATGTTCCTATGTTAACATATGATAATATAAAGTGTGGCCTTCAATTGGAGAACAAAAAATGGCAAATTATTTCATTCACAAATGTCCTTTTCTCCAAATTTCTACCGTGTTATGTTTTTTTAATGACAGGGTGCTATATAACAATTATATTTAATTTTTAAATATAAAAGAGCAGTTTTACAGTTATGACACAGTGTTTCACTTAAATTAGGTGTAACAGACAACAACCTTTTAACACTAAGGACATTTATCTATTTATGTTCTGTACATTCCACTGTGAGATGGTGTAAATTGTTGTATTTGATGAAAAATAACAATGGACTATCTTCAGATAAAAACTCTGCTGGTGTCTTGGTCCTCTCCGCTCAGTGTGAGCTGCTGCTGAATGACAACACTAAACACAGAGAGTAAAACAAACAGAAGTAATAAAACATAAATAAAATAAAATCAAATTAATTATTTTAAAAAAGTGAGTTTTTTTTAATGATTGAACAGAGGAGACAGAGTTGGCAGCCCTGATCTCCAGACAGGTCGTCCAAAGTCCAGGAGCTCTGACAGCAAAGACTGTCTGCTTTCTGTTTTTTATCTGGATTTTAGAACAACCAGGAGCGATGCCTCTTAAGAATCTCAGGGTTCAGGGGGGGGCATATGTCAATAAAAGGTCAGATAAATAGTTTGGAACAAGGCCTGTCAGGGCTTTAGTAAGCAATAAGATCTTTAAATCAAATCTGAAAACAAGGCGGATACAAAAACTGATTCAAGATAAATCTGAAATCATTTTTAATTCAGATTTAAGGTCATTCCGTCCCAAGTAAACAGCTCGAGTGCACATGTTGTTTTTTTCACTGTGTGTGTGTGTGTGTGTGTGTGTGTGTGTGTGTGTGTGTGTGTGTGTAGAGTGTGAAACAGACATACAATGTTTTCATGTATATATGCCCTTAAAGGTCAGTGAGAGAGCTTCTCTGTGGAAAGCAGAAATGGGTCCAGCAGAGGGGAATGTTTCCTCTGAGCTGAACCAGCAGCTGGCCTTTCTCCCTTTGTCTTTTTCTTCTCTGTCCTGCTACAGATGTACAGGAAGAAGTAACAGTGATATACATGGAAATGCTCAATGATCAAATAACGTCCCAGTTGAATCTGCACCAGGCAGGACTTTTATATTCAAGATACTTTAAACTTCTGCAACAAAGAGGAACAACCCACCATAGATTCATATATTTTTATGATTATTGAGGCGACAACATTCACTTGTATATTAATAGCATACTTCCAGAGATTGAGAGGAAGACATTTTGTCTGCTGTCAACACATGGCAGTTATTATGCTCCACATATTTTGGAACAAGCTCCCAGAAAACTTCAGGTCAGCTGCAACTCACTTCTTTTCCATGTTTCCTTTTTGATACCGGCTGCTGCCATTATCCAATCAAATAACTCGTATAACTTACACTGCACTGTAACTCTTCTTCCATTCTATACCTTTTTTCATTGTATTTTCTTGGCTTTTTAATGACTGGTTTTTACATGTTACCCTAATGCTTCTAATGTTTGCTGTGGAAATGTGCTGTATAAATAATTCTGCCTTGCCTATGTACGTTTTTCGTGCTGATATGAATATGTGCACTTCATAATATTAATCAGCGTACATGAAGGCTGCACCTTAACGTGCACTCACACCTGCTGTTCTTATAATAATACTTTTCCTTTATAAAGCGCTTTTCTACGTTTTTACAATTGTAAATCTCTCTATCCAGGCTGCACCTTGAGCCGGCAGGATGTGCGTCTGACGCTGCACTACGAGAAGGGCTTCACTGTGACCATGGAGCAGGTGGACCCAGCGGGGGGGGCCGTGCTCTTCAGGTACCCCTACGAGAAGCTCCGGATGTCCGCAGACGATGGAAAACGCAACCTCTACCTGGACTTTGGAGGTCCAGAGGGAGAGATGGTGAGACAAAAGAATAAGATGTTAGCTGTTTCCTGATAGGAACTCTGGGTAATGTCTGCCCGCACAACAGAACTGTCAGAAGCGATCTCACGTATAGGAAATACTCAGATTTGATTGAACTTACAGATGTAGATTGTTCAGGAGGCACGGCATTTCCCAGAATACACCGCTGTCACGCAGCAAGCTGCTAAACTTGGTCAAAAACAACTGAAATAATTTCTTGCCTTGAATTTGTTTGACGATTTTAGCATACTGACAGAAACTTCAAAATCTGGTATTCTCTCCATTTACATTTATTTAGTTTTTTACTTCCATAAAGAATCATCCACACTTACATTAGACACACTCATCAGGAGCTGGCAGTAAGACCTCGGTGTGAATGATCCAGACATACAGTTCCTCGAGGGAATGTGCTATCTGTTACGTTTTGGGCATTTCCAAGGTTATGTAACCAGTCTAATTTAATATTTACAAATTCCAGTCATATGGCAAAGCAGGAACATCAGTAAATAGGTCTGCACTGATCAATCAACAAATGAGAGTCTGGATCTTCTGCTTTATTTTATGAAAAGCATCTGAACTTCTCTGAGTTGTGTCTCGGACCCCACTGCTGTTACGTATTGCGTTTACTATACAGTAATTACTGTGTTGTACTTTTCATTAATTCCAACTTCCTTTTAGCAAAAGTAGCATCTACTGTTTTCTCTGCTTCACATTGCAGTGCAAACGCTTTGGTGTAACATTAATGACTTAACTATGTGACCATGGATGAGAGAAAATACATTAGAATGATTCAATATGTAGAATAATATAGAATCTGTTCCACCAATCAATGTCTTTATTTATGGTTTCTAATTTTATTATAGTAGTTGACGGAAAACCATGCTCCTTCTGTCTTTGTGGTGAGCTTTATACGGTACATGTTTACTGTGCACTAAACTGTCACAATCGCATTTCAAAGCTTTTTCAACTTTTCAACATTTTTATATTCACCTTGACCATGGTTTGAACTTAAATGTAAAAAAAATGCTAATGAATTTCTACATTTTGAAATGTATAAATCAATAGTTTTGATCTCTTTTAATGTCATTAGGCTCAAATCGTGTGCAATACAAACGTATTCTAGCGAATGGATTCTAATGGAAACATTCTAGTGAAAAGAGTCTGTGTGTTGATTAGGGTTGAAGGGGAACTCCAACAGTTTCAAACATCAGTCCTGAGAGACGCACCCTGACAACTAAAATGACTCATCATAACACATCTTCAATTAACTGTTGCATTGTGGGTAACGTAGGGGCCACGTTTCAAAAGACGACAGTGTGGAATAAAAAACATGTTGTATATCTCAGTATAGAAAATGGAAACTCATTTTCTTTTTCCTCCTCTCCTCTCCTCCTCTCCTCCTCTCCTCCCTCCTCTCCCCTCCCCTCCTCTCCTCTCCTCTCCTCCCTCCTCTCCTCCTCTCCTCCCTCCCCTCCTCTCCTCCCTCCCCTCCTCTCCTCCTCTCCCCCCTCTCCTCCTCTCCTCTCTCCCCTC